GAATTTCATCAGATAAATAACCAACTCGTCTGAATTTTGTGGACTGAGGAAATAGTATTTTATTGATAATAAAGATGCGCAAAACTGAAATGAGTTGCGGTCTTTTACAACGTCTATTAAATATGGCAACACCAAAACAGTTGTCATAATAATTCTTGAAATATCCATCTTTTATAAGATAACTTTGCTTGCGATATAGACAAATGTAAGATAACATTATAACAATTGCTTGCAAGTGCGCTCCGTACATTAGGAAATTATTTTTAATCTGACAAATGTACATTTATTATAATCTCACTCAAAGTTACAGGGGCACATTTTGATTCATTGAATTTCTCGAAGATTGTTGACTGTTATTGTGCATGTAGTAAGTATCTAAGTAATATCTTTCACATTTCAACAAAGCATATCAACGATGTTCCACTTTAAGCACTAACGCCAGAAACTTCCTTTGTCGATACAGTTCGCCTTCCTCGCCTCTCAGCACGTGTGGATGGGGATAGATCCTTGCAAAAGAGCAAATTAAATGAGTTTCATTATACCAATAAAATATTAGATACCTCAACTTCAACTCAAGATCTAGTGCAAGATGATATGTACTCTTGGTACAAGACGGATTTCGCGGAAAAGTATATTCTCCGTAATTCATGAACACTTTCATTACTTTGGGATATACAGAATCTCTCGTGATCTTTAAAATGAATTTCGGCGGCTATTTGAACAAAATAAGCTAAGAGAGATTTCAATCTTGATTCAACGTGACTTGTCTCAAGATACAGTCATTAATTCTATTGTTTACTACCCTTAGAGATTCATGAATGTATGCGATATTTCATTTCAGTAAAATATTAACACCATATTTAATTTCTTAGAAATTATTTCATATCAATATGACTGAAACCAATTTTTGGTAAGCACTATTTCTTTTGTTCTTTTGAACTAACTAAACATTGTCCTTGTGTGGAGATCGCTGGCGTCAACATTTAAAGAAATAAAGCTGATTCTAAACGTACGTTTTAATCTAAATTAACTTTCATATAATCTCTGAGTATATCTCCTTTTAGACTTTAACGAACAAAACTTAAACAATTTCAAGTAAGGTCGTTATTCTCCCTCCCGTACAGCTGTATTTCACACCATCTCCAATTCTTTATCACGAGGAAAATGATATTAGGGCCTTCGGACTCAAATAAACGCTTCATGCTCTTGATATTTTAATCCAGCACTTTGTATGTAATTAATGATCTCGTAAAGTTTACAAACGAGACGTTTATAAATATTTTATGCAAGTCCTACACGCGACTATGGCAATTTCTGCTAACGAGTGGATTGGCTACCCGCAAAATGTAAGTCAGTCTTCTTTTATGCAATAAACATATCATTTATTAATAAGAAATGCAACTTGATGACAATACGATATCATTGGATAAGAATAATCCACACGTATACAAATTAATATTTATCCTAATTCTACAAAATGCAAAGAAGTTGTGTTACCAAAAACGCGAAGATATTAATCCTGTAATTTACTTTTTTCTCACAGCATTCTCCAAAGTGTTTCAACAGTCATTATATCGGATTGCTAATTGTTACCAGTATAAGTTTTATTTTATCCCTCCGTGATGATGTAGAAGCTATAATAAATTATAATATATTTTTGCGCTTCCAGAGGCACGCATCCATTGCAACGGAAACTGCCGGACAAGTGTGAAGCACATAGTAGATATTATGGGGGAGGGTTTGGAACTAAAGAACCCCTAGAGGTGGAGGTAAAAATTCGCTCAGAGTTGTGCAGTAAATTTTGTTCTCGGTTAATATTTATTTTTGTCAGAAGATTACAGGAATTAAATTTCCATTTACTGGAAAAACAAATCAAGCCTGTAAATAAAGTATTCTATCAATATCGTTCAATATTGTTAAAATGAAAATATGTCAATATTTCGTAATCAGATTTCACAAAATGTTACCTAGAAACAATCTCGGCAGATGTACCATAAATATTCTTTTGTCAAAAGTTCGCGAAATAATTTTTTTAACACGGCAATTGCGGTGGGTTGGCAACGGTCAATATATTGTCACACCACGATAATAATCGAATGGTTCGATAGCGAATCAATTTGAATTATTATCCCTAGGGACACGTGGGCGTTGCGACGAAAACTGCCGGCCACGGGTGATCGCGGCTAGGTTGGTAGCGGTCGATGTTTCGGACGTCTCGCTGTGTGGCGCGGAGTATACACGCGCGGCGTAGCGCCGCGGGCGCGGTGGCGGTGGCGGGCGGNNNGCCACCGCCTGTCGTCCCAGTTGCTATGGCGATGGCCCGCACCACGCCGTCCGTCTGCTGGTGTCACCGCCAGCGATTGCGCACCTTGAGTGGGTGGGCACGCGCGGAGCACTTCTGTTTACTCAGACGACGAAACTGTATAAATAAATTCCGCGGGAAGCGGAATTAAAACAAAAAAGAACAAGTTGAAAAAAATCACTATCGTATCATTTACATAAAATTTTCATAAATCGTATTCAGTTTCTTTCATTAAAACTTCTCAGCGTTTCGTCAGATTTCAAGTTACCTGTAACATCAGAAATTTTTATGAATTCGTGACTGCCAACCATTCCTTAACCCATTAACGCCCAGAGTCCTCACTTCTGGACGCACATTTTTGGTCAACTCAAATTTGCTTCTTTGTGAATTTTATTTCTTCAATAGATCTAGACATTCTAAACGAAACATATTATAAACAAGTTCTTTCAGTTCTGATTGCCAGATGTCGATTTAGCCGTGAGCGCCAAGGCATTGTACTCTCCTACCCGGGGTGTACACTCGACTTACGTCGGTTAGGTACACGCAACTATTTTCCGTCCAGTGGCTACCGAAGGGAAGGAGGTGGGGGTGCCCGCGTCCCTTCGCGGTCACCGCCGATTCCGTTCCCGCTTTGTCCTGGAAGTACTATTTTTATCTGGGTGCGGGCATAGACGCTGCGCGCGAGCGAAGAAAAGACCAATTACGATCGTTTACCCACGCCTTTTTCTTCCCTCCAATCCTTTGCCATGTCGCTAAATGATTCGCATGATTAACGTAAAACGTGACAAAAGCGCGCTCTGAAGGCGAACGGAATGGTGAAGTAACGAGGCACAGGAAGTATTTCCAGCTGCTCGCGTCAAAGTAAACAGGAACACGACAAGAGAAGTGATAAAAATAGTTAACGTACGGAAAATGCCAGCGAAAGGTGATAGTGGGATGGACTAGGTGTACCTGCGACTAGGAAGGTTATGGGAACGGAAAGTTGCCTAGGAAAGCTTGTACTACGCCCTGGTTTCCTCCGTCGTTCCCACGAAGTTTCGAGAAAGCGAGGAAAAGGTCTTTACGATGAATGTTCGCAATTTCCGTTGTCCTCTGCAACACAAGGGTTCTAAATACATATGTTGTAAAATGAAATGATTTAGTTTTGCACGATATTTTAAAAATGAGATACTTTTTTATAGTGAATGAACTCCGTGAATATTTCGTCATCTAAACAGTGTGTACTGGAGACAGAACGTCCATAACTGTATTAGTTTGTGAATTCGACATAATGTTTTGTTCCGTTTGTTGTGTATTGAATGTTAGCAGGATATTTTAAACAATCTTTACCATTTAAACTTTATTCTATTTAATATTCTTTTAGTTAATATATTCCAAAGTAAAATTAGGAAGAAAATTCTTTAATAATAACCATTATTATAATGGTTCATGCTAATTTTATTCACACTTAACCCAGCACCAGCATTTCGTTGAACATTTCTAAACATTTTGAATCCGAACTTTCAAGTTATTATTGGCATTCATCTTGCGCCCAAAAATACACCATGTCGTTTAAGCCACTAACGTATGCTCGGCAGATATATCCACAACCAGACCCAAATTACAAATACTCGTAAAAATATCTCACGTTTGGTTATTTTTAGTGTAGCGGGCAAAACATTAGATAGGTAATTGTTCTTTTTTAACGGACCGTCTGTTTCCAGACCGCGTACGCTGCTGGTTTCGTCCGCAAGTAATGGACACGATGACCTTGCAAACAGGAATGCAGCTAAAGTCCTTTGAATCTCCTTTTTGTATTAGGCTGCAAATGGTAATAACAGGACTTCTCAGTCTTCGATTTATTGTATGAATTTATGTATTGAATGACCGTACAATCATCGTTTTGAAACAATGTGTTGACATTGGCGAAAAAATTATCGGCCCATCAAAAGCAAATACATTATCTAAAATTTAAACTTTTATATGAAAGTCTTGAGAAGGTTTTATGCGGGAATATACATTAATACAAACTCAGATCTACATATATTTTTGTGAAATTGAATTTTCATATATTGTTTAATGATTATTCATACATTTTCATTAAAAAAACTGTTGTGTTTTCCTCACTAATGTTAAAAATTCTTGTTCGAATCCACAGCGTAATAAAACACAAATATTCCTAATAAATCAATGAATCATTTGTACGGAACGGAATTTTGAAAATAGCGCGTGTGTATTTGTAGCGAGAGTACAATTAGTTCGCGAAAGCGCCGCTGCTGCAGCAGTTTCCACTGGAGCAGCGGCGAGCGTTTCAGATCCTTGTACGTCCCGCCATCTCGTGTCGTAGTTGCGCACTGTCAATTCAATTGACCCGTCTCCATCTTCTTGTTCGCGATGCGATAGAAAATCCGGGACACGGGAGGCCATTTTGCATCTTGCAGATTTGTGTCCTTCGAGTTAAATTGTTTTCGTTGGTGTGTGGACGTCGAGTTCCTGATAAAGACAATCGTGTTACAACAGTGTTGAACATCATGAAGATGTGTGTGCTACTCCAATGGTTGTGTTGACGAGGTGGGTGAAGTAGGTGTATAGATACTGACCTCCGCCTAATTGCGGATTCAATTTTACTGATAATTACAGAACCGTAGGTTCTGGCAGAACGGCGCAGAGAGGGTGTTCCAAGCCATCGAGAGCCCTGGCAGATTTCAAAGGAAAAATCATGGGCAATAATGCCGCTACGGCTAACAAGAAGGTTGATGCGGCCGAATCTGTCAAAGAATTCTTGGACCAAGCGAAAGAAGATTTTGAAGAGAAATGGAAAAAGAATCCGACGAATACTGCCTGTTTGGATGATTTTGAACGCATAAAGACTTTAGGGACTGGTTCGTTTGGGAGGGTAATGATCGTTCAACATAAACCAACTAAAGAGTATTTTGCAATGAAAATATTAGATAAGCAGAAGGTGGTTAAATTGAAGCAAGTTGAACATACATTAAATGAGAAGAGGATCCTTCAAGCCATCAGTTTTCCTTTTCTGGTGAGCCTCAAGTATCATTTTAAGGACAATTCGAATTTGTACATGGTGCTAGAATATGTACCAGGTGGAGAAATGTTTTCTCATCTACGAAAGGTGGGTCGATTCAGTGAACCCCACTCACGTTTCTATGCAGCACAGATAGTACTAGCATTTGAGTACCTGCATTATTTGGATCTGATATACCGTGACCTTAAACCAGAGAATTTGCTAATAGATTCTCAGGGATATTTGAAGGTCACAGATTTTGGGTTTGCAAAGCGGGTAAAGGGTCGAACCTGGACCCTATGTGGAACCCCTGAGTACCTGGCTCCAGAAATCATCCTGAGTAAAGGGTACAACAAAGCTGTTGACTGGTGGGCTCTTGGCGTCCTGGTGTATGAAATGGCAGCTGGTTATCCACCATTTTTTGCGGATCAGCCCATACAAATCTATGAGAAGATTGTGTCTGGTAAGGTGCGGTTTCCATCACATTTTGGTTCCGACCTGAAGGACATGTTGCGGAATCTCCTGCAAGTGGACCTCACCAAGCGCTATGGCAATTTGAAGAATGGAGTGAATGACATCAAGGGCCACAAGTGGTTTGCTTCCACCGACTGGATTGCAGTGTTCCAGAAGAAGATCGAGGCGCCTTTCATCCCCCGATGCAAAGGACCAGGTGACACCAGTAACTTTGATGACTATGAGGAGGAGGCATTACGAATCTCATCGACAGAGAAGTGCGCCAAGGAGTTTGCTGAGTTTTGAACTGTCATTGTCATCCGCTTGTATGATCCCCGTAATCGAAAACTTGATGTTATTCACAACACAGGTACAAGTCTGTTTTCACTTCCTTATTTAGTAGAACTATTTTTTGTATGATTTAGGATACATTAAAAAATTCATATAGGATTTGTTTTTCTGTAGAAAATTTTTATATAGGGACTCATGTGAGTGATAACGTATAATTGGTGTGTCCCTCCTACTTTCTGTGTTTGCTTGTAGGAGTCCGAGTCCTTATTGATAAGCTATCCATTGGTGCACACTGCACATTAAACTGTTACTACAATTGGAATTGTTATTAGAAATGGTACTTGCATTGTGCTATAAGTAAATGTCATGAAGTATTGCAGTCATCTTTCTATTTAAGGATTTTACATTCAATGGAATGTGAAAGCAGACTGTGCAAATTCAAGGCTGTTTTCATTGTTGCGGAGAGACGACAGAAACAAAAATTGCACCATTGGCAGGGTGCGAGATTGACCATAAGAAGTTAATGGCGGGTATTGCAATTTGTGAAAACTCCCAAACTATTTGCAATTATTTGGGAGTCAATTTACAGTTCTTGCCAAACGTATGTTTCAGACTTTCAAATTTTCACATTCATGACCTGTTGCTGTCCAATTTTCTAGTAAATTATATGTAAAAATATTACATTTTGTAAGTATCCAGCCAGCTTCATATTTTATATGTTATGTTCTTCCATATTGAATTTTTTGGATCACTGTGTTTTCCCTACAGTGTTCCTTTATCTCTCTAGAGATATTTGATGCCTCATCAAACACTGACTGGGTATTGAAAACAGTGTTTTTAAGACATATTTTTCTCGCACCCTGCAGATATCCCAGAGCAAGTTCCTTTTAGAGCTCCCATGCAAAGCATGTTAAGGGTGAAAGCTAGTGCTTGAAGTAGGCGGTGCGTAGGAACCTACGTCTTGGCGAAGGACAAGTTTTCTTGCAGTATTTTTGTGAATTAATTTTTTAATGAAAAGAATCCTGGGTGTTTCAACCCTTGTTAACATGATCTGAATATGCAATAGTCTCAGGCATAGTTTTGAGTTTCTAACACGGTAAGATGTTGGTCATGGACTTCATATTTTAATAAATTTGTTAGTCCTGATTGATTTTTGATATTGGACTGTCGTTTGGCATGAAGGTTATGATGGATCTGTACAGTTAATATATTAGTGTGTTTGCCATGTGTTAACGTAAGTGACCCTAGCCTTAGTTGAGAGTAAGTGAAGGAATGCCCTACACGTGGAACTATAGAAATATTTCCCTGATATATTCTATTCATTGTGAGATGAAAAATTTTTATCAACTTCTCTCAGAAAAGAACACCCATAGGATCATATATCAACAGCAATTTCAAAGCAACTTGCACTATTATGCTAGATATTAGAGTATATTTTACATACCTTATAAAACATGAAATCTTTACCATTTTGCATGTACTGGATGTACTTAAGAAAAACCTTTCTAGGACTTTATATGTGAATGTTGCGAGAAATTTACACTGCTGTGCTGAAAATTATTTTACATGATAGTATATTTTTATGGCTTACATTAGGATGATTGGCTATGAAAATAACAATGTACAAATTGAGTTTAATGCCCACCAACTACTGGTGAAAGTGCTTGGAAGTTCTGTGTTTTCCAGCAATAGTGATATTTGTGCTTGATCCCTTGGTGCTGGTCCGTGGCAAATAATGGAGGACTTACGTCTGTCTGTTCATGTTATTTCATTTCTGTTATTTTTAAGGAATATTTAATGTTATCCTATGTAGGATATGTTTTCCTGTTGTGCAGTTTTGTTTTGTTTTTGTTTATCTTATTCCACTAACTGTAGGGTGAGATATCAAAAATATTACCTTCTTGAAGATAGCTTTCCAGTCATAGAGAACGAGAATATTTACAACTGTTGTTTTAAAAAAAAGCAAAATAAAAATCAGGTAGACTGAATGGTTTTTTGTGATGAGTGTTTAATTGCATAGTGAAGTGTAATTCACAAGTTTGTGACCTTACCTAATACCTGGTCTCCCTGCGAAAAGGCAGCTTTTGTAGAACGAAGGAAGGGCTGCATTACGTTTAATCCTATGACTGCCACATGAAAATTAAGGGATTTTCTTTTTCATGGGCTAAAACCCAGATTTAATATGTAACTGTGTGAAGAGTTTGTGGGAGTTACATGTGAATCATTTTAAAGATTGAGTAATGAATTTGAATTTTTCGGATACTTTCCCATGATTGACGTGCTGATAGCTTATATGGTGGTGTTCTCATTACTACTCATAAGTGCATTCTGCTTTCCTAAAAATCGTGTGGAAGCTATGCAAACGATGTATGCTGCAGTCAGGGGATTTAAACAGTCATTTGTCTAGTTCATGCATGGGGTTTCCAGTTGTTTAAGTATATTTAATGCTAAGCTGTTATTTAAATATCTATTTTCCCGATTGTTTCTTTCTAGCTATTTGTGTGTTTGCATATAATTCTTTCTATTCATGACAGTGCAATATTATGAAGTGTTGACTCAACAGTGATTAAGGGTGTTGGGTGGGTTATTTATTTTATGAAGAATTGATATTGGGTTGAACATTGTCTTGTAACATAGTGTGTTTAATGAGTAAATTATTAGCAATGATATTTTTTTTCAGTGCCATATATTATTTTGTAAAATAGATCAGATTTCAAAGAATATATTTACATTTGGAACATGCAAGACTGATTTTTATTAGATTATTATTATTATTACTACTATTATTTGCTGTTGCCTGTGTACATTTTTATGGGTTTCAAAATTGGATATGCAGTATTCGTCACTGAATGAATGAATTCGTTTTTATTAGTAGTGCATTGAAATGTGACAATGTACTCTAAATTCCTGATACATAATCAAATTTTTTAATATTGTCTTGTTGTAGTGTCGGGAGTGTGTAATGTGAATATTTGATGAAAGTGAATTTTGGAAACCTCATGCTATTGAGAAGTGTACAACTTGTAAAATATTATTTATACATATTTTGATTACTAAGTATAATAGTTGATTCCAGTTTTAGCCAGCTTTTTAGCAGTTCAGGAATCTTGCCACTTTTGTGACCATGAATAAAGAAATTTACCATTGAAAGGACCATGGAGTTGTCAGTTTGTGTTCAGAGATGTAAATATATTTTGTTTGGTGTGGTTATTTAATCAATTCCTATCACTCTAATGAAAATAACAAAAGGTGTTTTAGGAGTATTGCAGGTATCATTTTTTAAAAGTTTGAATCATAACTTTATTCACATATAGTATTACAATAAAATATCATCCAAAGATTTTTGCCTATAATATATTATTACTGTGTTACATTTGTACAGTCTATTCTTGTGACCTTACTTTGCGATAAAGTTTTTTTTGTTCATATTTGTAGAATGACACATTTTGTTTTATTTTGCTTATTATGTTCTGAATTTCAATATTCATTGTCTGTTTTCCCAAAAACTGCACGCTCTACTCTCATTTTTGCACAGAATTAATTCCATGTGTACAGAGTAGTTCCCATTCAAACATGTTTGCCATCTCCGTTAGGTGTATGTGATTTACGAATGCGAGTTGTGTGCATGCATCATTGAGAATAGTTTCACCCCAAACCGGTACTGTGAAGCATGATGATTTGTTTGATAGGGAGGGTGGAAAGGTGCCCCCGACATTCGTATAGGCAGCGGTGTAAAGCTACGCGTTTTGTCGAACATCAATCATTTTCCTCGCGCCGGTCTTATTCACACCGATCTCAAAATAGGGCCGCGAAGGTGTCGTGGATGCGCGTACGGTGGCGCCCGCCCGAAATGCGTCACTGCCGGCACTTCTGGTATCGGTGCTCGGCGCTGCGTGCGTGACGTGCGTGGGGACTGAGTGCGTGTGTTGGGAGGGATTGGTGCAAGAGGTGCTCACCAGCAGGATAGATCGCCCCAAGAGCAATGCCAGTGGTTCTCAAATCGTGCTTTCTTCTTGAACTCGTGGATAGCAATTTGTAACTGACAGTTTAAAATTGTTTCACACGAAATTATATATAACACAGAAATTGAAAATGAAAATTTTGAAAATTGAACATTCATTAATTTTTTTCTACATTTAGGGTGCAATGTGTTTAGTATAGTCCTTTTTAGTTGTATCATCAGCTGTAGCATTTGTATGAGATGCACTCGTAATGGGTTGAGAACCACTGGTCAGTTAATAGTTTGTCTTTCATGATATTACCATATCTTTTCACTGCTGTGTGGAGTACCATTCAGAATAAGATACATTGAACCAATATTTAAAATCTATTGTTTACTTAACAAACATTATCATCACAGAACATTAAGAAGGTAATTTACATGTTGTTCACTTTTTTTAAAGAATGGCTAGTGTACAGATGTTAAAGTATTAAATTACTGACTCATTTTATGAAACTGTGTTTTAGTAATTCAACTTAATGAGTTGCTTTAATGGTTTTAACATTTTCTCAATGTCTAGCTTTTGAAAGATTATTTATTTCCTAAAAGTAGAAGTCCTTTGTCCAGAAATTGAGATCACATTCAAAATTGATTAAAAGAATTAAAATTGTAAGAAAAATTAAGAATATTAAAAAAATAACACAATCCAAGAGCATTTGTTTCTTGCTTTTTGGGTATCCTATCTAACCCAGAAAACAATTCCCGGTTATAGAGTTTTGAAATACCTTTATAAGCTTTCTTTTTATGGAGTGTAGAATAATCATGTTAAATGTGTGTATAAAATATTTCAGAACTGTTTTTTAACTTCATTTGTCTTTTAACTGGAGTTTTTGGAGAATATTTGTTGTTTTCAAAGTGTGACATTAGGAGAAATGTGATGCATTGTTTAATGGGGTCTAAACCTGTTAGCAAGTCGCAGCTAGAAATAGTTTTATAATATGGGGTTTTGAAAATGTGTGAAATACTTTGATGTCTTCAATTCGTAATTGTACCTCGATACTAACAATTTTCTGAA